GAAAATTACACGAGAAAACTTGTCTTTTCAAGCACAGGACATTAATGCACTACTGTGCCAAACTCGCAGTCGCAGTGTGACAGGTTAAATACTCGGAATATCACGGGTAGCTCGCAAGATGGAGATGTGCGAAGCTGCGAGTAGGCATCGCGATGAAATTATAAGAAAATTAGACGAGAAAACGTGTCTTTTCAAGCACAGGACATTAATGCACCACTGAACTAGACTCGCAGTCACAGGCGAGGGGTTAGATACTTGGAATATCACGGTAGCTTGCAAAATGGAGGTGTGCAAAGCTGCGAGTAGGCATCGCAATGAAATTATAAGAAAATTAGATGGGAAAACGTGTCTTTTCAAGCAGAGAACATTAATACATCACTGAACTAGACTCGCAGTCGCAGGTGAGATAGGCTAGATACTCGGAATATCGTAGCTCGCAAGATGGAGGTGTTAGAAGCTGCGAGTAGCGAAGGCGAGGGACGTAAAAATTCGGAAAGTTCGTAAGTGGGCAAGCGCGAAACTCGCAGTCACAGGCGAGGGGTTAGATACTTGGAATATCACAGTAGCGTGCAAAATGGAGGTGTGCAAAGCTGCGAGTAGCGAAGGCGAGGGACGTAAAAATTCGGAAAGTTCGTAAGTGGGCAAGCGCGATAGTACGATTATATCTGTGGAGGAACGTGAAAGGGAGAAGAATCGAATGGGCATCGTTGAATGGGAGGGAATGAAAGATAGTCAGCTGAGGGAGCCGGCGCTTTTGTTGCGTGTAAAGGAGTTGCTCGAACGGTAGCGTCCATGTCTGAAATGCATGCGTGAAATGAGTTCTTAATGCGAATGGGATTTTTCGTAAGAAGGTGTGCAACGTGTTATTAAAACAAGACCGCCACCGCTATAGCCACCAGTAAATAAATAAAATGGCCGTCATTTCGCCGGTATAATTACCAGCGGCAGAAGGCCGGAATGTGTATCCTTTGATCTTTTTTCCCCCCGCAGAAAGAATGACGCATTTTGGTGCGAGCTAAGCGGCCTCTTACGAAATAACGCGCTTTTTCGCCGATATTTTTATTTTTTCCAACATCGTTGCTCGGCCGTGTCGAGCGAACTGTGCACCGCGGCAGGTTTCTAGGGAATAATTCATAAAAGTGCAAAAACACCCGAGGTAATTGCGAGCAAAAAACAATCGTAGAAAAGCCTTGGGAAGTTATAATTAGTTCTACATGTTTTTCAGATAATTGTACCCGTGCATTATACTATAAGCAGCACTGTGAAAAAAACCATCCGATGCAGACACTGAAAAGTTTAAATTGAGGCGAACGTGTTTTACGTAACGCCACTGACGGCAACGTTGATCACTTATCTCGAATAATCCTTATTCCTCGCCATCATCTCTTCCAACTCTCTTCGTCGTTGTCCACGAATATTCCGAATTCGAGAAGAACACTGGAGTATTATGATAAAAATGATCATCGACACTCTCGCGAATTATCGGAATCGGAAGAAAATCGGTAATAACTTATTTCATTTCCACCGAATATTCTTGCAAGCTTCAACAGTCGTGACGCCAGGGGACGTACACTAAAACGGAATTCATCCCCGAGTAAATAGCGATCGGGACATGTGTTTCGTACATGCAACCTCGATTCCACGCGTGATTGGATGATACAAAGCGCGTTTCGGAATCGTTCTGCCCCGTATCGTCGATCGAACATTTTCTTCCAACGGACGATACACAGAGGGAGCACCCTGTGACCGGATATCGAGCGATCTAAAACGACGAAGATAAAATAGACCGTGGAATCGCATGTCACCGAGACGTTCCGATCTGTTCGCAATGTGTTTTCGGCGAGGTCCGTGATATCGGCTGCAATGGCTGAAAAATGTGTGCAACGTGTGCCCAGCGATCGCGCGCGATCGGTCCCCGGAGTAATGTCACCCTGATATCGTTCACGTGTCGTCGTTCCTTCGAGTTGTCGGATATTGGTCGTGTGGAGCGATCTGATTGCGCTCACGAAGAGAATCTTTTGATAACTACCCTGTGGGGGGATGGCAATTGCGCGAGAAATCGTCGGAGGAACGATCAACGACGATCGATCGTCGTGGGAAGATGGAAGTGGATAAGATGGAGAAAAATTGTAATTTCTAGTTGGAGGGAAATTGGAATAGTTGAGATTGAGACGAGAAACGAGTAATGGCGGGAATAATTGATGCCCAGGGTGGTGGGGTAAATATAAATAGGAAACGAATGGCGACGAAAGTTGGATATTGCAAAATCCCTGCTGGCAATTAATATTTATCGATAGCTATATATTTTTAGAGTTATCGATGCACGGAGAGTGGAAGAAGGAAGGCTGGCACAATATCCTGTCCGCCGTGTTAGACTTCGCGCCGTGGATCATAAGCCATAAACGTTATGGATCATAAATAGGGTAAAAAATCCGGGGCTCGTATTAGCTTTTTGTTCGGCGTAATTATTTCATTTAAATAGTAAATAAAGCGACTTTTTGCCGGGTTTTTGTTCGTCAGGGTGCAGTTAAATAATTTATATAATTAATCTGACAGGAATATTACACAGCTTAATCGTTTTCACGTTGAACGCAATTACGTTTTCCATCCCGTCGGATCATTTCAGTAACCACCCATGTCGATGTCACTGGGCGGGAAAAAAATTGAATTACGACCATTTAACGAACTCTTTCTTTTAATCCGTTTCGAAAATTCGATCGCGCGAAAGGCGAATCGATTTATTACCGATCATCGAGTGGATATCGATTTACCGAACGTTCGACTTCCGTTCTCCGGGAAAAAGAAAAGATTCCTTCGCGTCCACCGGGAAGAAATTCCCGAACGAGGGAATTTTCACGTTCACGCGAGCCGAAACTCGATGGTGAATTGGAAAAAAATTTCCCGATAAACGGGCACGGCCCACGGATGCTCGGAGTACGGTGTTGGAAATAGCGCGGCAAAAACACGCGGATAAACCGGGCCAAGCGTCGAACTTAACGAGCAACGGTTGTCGGAATATTACGAACGACATCGACTAGATCGGAGGAAATTCGCAGCCTCGCGTCCTTGAGCGCGACAGAGAGCGCGGCGAGTGCGTAGGAGTGGCCGGTGAGCTAGACAAGGAGGGCCGATCGCCGGTGGAATAGGTGTAATCGTTTAACGCGCACGATGGTATCTCGGCTCGCGGCGCGGGTTGGGCTGGGTAGCGCCATGCTGGATGCGCGATTGGCCGGCTCGGTCGGCCGGTGGGCGTGGCCGCGCGCGAGGGAGGGGATGGCGAAAGTGACAGGGCGACTTCAGGGGGTAGAAGGTGGCGGCCGATCCGACGATCGCGTCGAGGTTACTCCTCTGGCCGAGGAGGTAAGTTCTACCACCACCAGCCGCCACCACCACCCGGTCCCCGTTCCGATCTATGCCACGGTCTCCTGACTTATGCTACGCCCGGCAGGGCCGCCAGTACACGATACGCTTCTACCAGGCGAACACCGGGTTCTCCGTGCCCGCTCTACCTCTACCTCTGTCCTCTACCTCTCGCTTTTCACCACGGAAATCGTGCGGCCGGCCGCGAATCCGCGTTTTTCACGCGCGGCGCGTCACCGCAGGGGAAAAGTGTCCGACAAGGGGAGGGAAACGAGCTCCGGGGAGGGGGCCGTCGAGAGGACGAAGGGAGGGAGTGAAGTGTTCGCGGGTGAGAGAGGGATGCGCGGTTCAGTTTCCGCGTGCACGTGACGCGATCCGATCGGGAAGCGTGTTTTCCAATCATCCACCGTGTCCACGGTCACACTGACAACCCTGCGCGTACTCGCCACGGTTTCGAGGTTAGGACTGGGCTGCCGTCACACGTGATCCCGGTGGACGCGCAGTCGGAACGGAAGGATACGCAGCAGTGAGTGCCGATCGTTATCCGCATAGCGAGAGAAAAGCGGACGAGCGAGCAGCCGGCAGGGATTTCGGAGGTCGTGTCTCGGGTCGGATGAATGCGACGATGAATGCGTCGCAACGACGCTGCTCTCCAGGGGTGACGAGCATTCGCGTGCTCCGGTTCTCCAGAGTGATCGAAGCGGGATCGTGATCCACGCGCGACTTGGTGACGTTCGCAGTGGTGCAGTGACACTCGTGGATGTTCCATGGTGAGAGAGCTCGTGGCTCGAATTACGACGACCCAGTGACAGTGAACTCGTAGACGGTCGCGACAGTGGCTGTCCAAACCTTGTCCAAACTGAAACATGATTTTTCCTTGCCTCCATCTTCCGTGCAGTGAGCCGTCGGGGTCCGAGACCGCGAGTGTGTCAAAAGTGCTAGCCCGGTAGCCGGATAATCGGCGAGAGTATCGCACGCGACCAGTGGACCGATTCACGAGTCTGCGAGCTGCAGAGAGTGACAGGATCGGTGGTGAAAACCGCGGAAGAGACGAGTCCGACGCGTTCTCCAGTGTGACCGGGCGCGCAGAGAGGTAGAGAGAAGTGTCCGTTATCAGTGGTACGTTGCCGCAACGGGAACAGCTGTCGCAGCTGCACCGTCCCGACGCCCAGCACCGGGATCGAGAGTCGAAAGCTCGACGCCGGCAGCTGGCCGACCCGCCAGTGACAGACAACGATGACGTAGCGTCGGCAGAGGCAAAGGGCGTCACGGTCTGCACGGTGTACGCGCTGGACAGGACCGCCTCGGCGGGGCTGGGGGTGGTTGGGGGTGTTGTCGGTGTCGCTGGCGGTGGTGGAGGAGGCGGCGGAGGCGGAGGAGGCGGCGGTGGAGGAGGAGGTGGCGGAGGAAGTGGCGGTGGTAACGGGACGAGCATCGGGGGTGGAGTGCAGGGGGTGGTCGCCGGGATTTGTGGACCAGCGAGCGCGTCCCTCGCGGCGACGGATTACGTGACGGCGGCATGCTATCCCCCGGGACCTCAGCTCACCCTGACCGCCTCTCACCCTCAGCCCCACGTCGTTGATCCCGCGATGACGCCCACCTCGGCGCCGGTACCGACTCCGACCACGGCGTCGGGACCCAACAACCCGGTCGCCATGAGCCAGCTGGGAACCGTCTATGCCACCAAGAGACGACGCCGGAATGGAAAAAGGTTGGTAGCACTGTGTCTCCTTCTCCCGGATAATCCACGCAACGCCGATGTTACGTCTCTGCTCTACCATTGCTGCCATGTACCTTGTGATTTCGGCTAGCCTGGTCTAGCAATTGGCGTATTTTGTTGCACTCTATGAGAGGGTGGCTCGATGGGGTCGAGTCCGAGTATAGAGGGTGTTGTAAATGTTTTAGTACGAGTTCGTGACACCGAGTAGGGAAGGGTAGTCCCTGTAAACTCGTGTCTATCCTAGACGCTGTCAATCGACTTATGTCGTGTCGTAGATGTACGACTACAAATTTGTGGAAACTGTTTTCGCTCGCTACGTACTCGCGTTTGTCTCCGCTCTTCTGGGGCACCCTATGCGTGGCCGAGGATTTATTCTAGGTTTTATGCGGATTATCGAGTAGGTGCACTGTGTGCCGGTAATTTAGCGGACTTGCACGAAACATCCGATGCTCGTGTGCATTATGGAAATGACATCGTCCAGATGGTTAGCGAAATAGCGAAACGAAAAAATAAAACGTGGCAGTAACGTCGTGCAACTTGAACGAGTTCCATTGGAGTGATAAGCGTTATATCGAGCATTGACAATGACCGAGTGATTTTTAATTTGTATGATACAATTGTCTAGCGAACAGTCTAGAAGGTAGCACGCAGGGAGCAAGAAAATGGTGAATTAAGCAATGACAATACAAAGAAATCCTGCGTTATCGATCAATCTGCGGTTGCCTTCTTACCTCCTCTACCGAGCGACGGTCGTAAAAGGACGAAAATCGTGACGATCATAGTTAATACGACCCCCCGCCCTGGTTCGCGACGTCAATTACCAGCGACTGACGAGATATATTACTGAAAAAATATAGCAATTGTCTCCAGCGTGAAATGGGGGACGTCGAAGAGATATTTCATACCCACTGCTGTCGACCTCGTTACTTCGTTCCTAATTTCATCGCGTTTATCCGTATTCCGTTTGATTATTTAAACGATCGGGCGTTTCTCGTGACACGCGCGTGTCATCGGAGGAAATCTGGAAAATAACGCCGTCGAGGGTAGTTTTCCCCTGCCGTGCACCTGCGGGGCAGCCGGGGTCGGATTGGAAAATGGAAGGAAAACGGGGAACGCGAGGGCGCTAATTTGTTGGCCATTCAGGAGAACGATAGACCACGAAGTATCGTGACGCGGCGCATATACAATTCATGTGTCTAAAGCCGGTGCTAATGGGATCGAAGGAGGGTGTTTGCACGTGAAGCGCGTCCAATGGTGGACTTAACGTTCGCCAGTCGTTTCAAAGACATACATTTTATCCGATTCCGTGGCTCGGGTAGCCTATAGGCGATGTTTTTCACATAAGCACGATCGATTATGCGCTAACTCGACGCTTAGGTGTGTGTATAGATCGTAAATTACAGAGCTCGGCCGAGATTCGTCATTATTGCACCACAGCGAAACGCTAATAGGAGAATCTTTCATGTCGAATGCCTGTCCACTTTGTAACCACTGCGACGTAATTATCCTCTTCTCCGCGACTTTGTTCCTGGCATTTCGTCTTAACCCCTTCCAGTCATTTAACGTGTCTGACTCGTGATGAAGATTTTGGGCCAAACACGAGTATCACGTGCCAGACACGTGAACGGAGAGTCGGTCCAAACGTAAACATCACGAGTCAGACTCGTGGATACATTACACGTATTTACATTTCGGCTGGTATTGCGATTATTTTCGAGCATCAGTCTGGTCTGTCAACCACGCGTTGACGCCTCGCATTTGGATCGGATTGGGCCCTAATATACGATAATATACGAGGACGGATCCGATCTTCGAGGATCGCGGATAATCCCTCGACCATACACGACCAATCAGCCAAGCTTTTAGAGAAATTAACCTTTTCATTCCTGAGTTATAAAGAGAATATCAAACACCCTGTCTGAAATTAATTTAACAAATTTTATTTTCGTTTAAATCTAACAAAAACTTAATCAAAATATATCACGTATTATAACCTTACCCGAGGTGACAAAGACGAATACAGGAGTTCAGAAGTCGCTAAATATTTCATTTGCAAGCCCTGACAGCAGAGGAAAAATCTCGGGCCAAGAGAGCGCGCACCACGTGCCACAGACGTGAAATACATAACCTCACGATTCTTTTGACAGTGGGAAAAATAACGCAGGAATCGTATTGAAAAAAATTTCTCTCTTATCCTAAGAGGTGGCACGACACGCTAGACCAGTTGGATCACGTTCAGAAAGAATTTTCTAACCTGTGACAGCTCTAAAATCCATAGACATCGTATCATGACCGCAGTCTGACTGTTATATCGTAGCATGACGTCATACAACGTCTGCAGGAGCGAAAGGGTCAACGTAAAATTAGATATACACGTAACACTCGAAACCCGGAATAGTATCGCGTCAGTTTCAGTGTCAGATGGTACCTGGAGCATACCTGGAACCAGGTATGCCATTTTCGCGACGATCCTCCGCTTCTCCAAACGTTTACCCTCCCCTCTGCAGTTCCGCGAACGCGCACACCCCTTGTCGTGTGCATTCGGAGGATGGTTATTACTCGATCTCGTATTTGTACTCGGTAACGTTACCATTAAGCCGCTACCGGGCCTTGGACCAATGATTTACGCGTTTGTATCGATGCTAAACAACTCCGCAGCCCGTCGTTACCAGCGTTTACTCAAATCCTTCGCATGCAGCTTTCAATTACTCCGCTCGAAAGTTCGCACTTTCCGATTGCCGTCCCGAAACAGGCGCAGATACTCCCTTATAAGGGAGACACCCGAGAAAGGGATATCCATGGCCGCGATTGCGAGCCCGCGACTTTTAATTTTCGCCGCGCGCCCAGCCGTTCACGGAAACGCACGCGAACGCACGCGTCCGGCCGCGACACTCGCGCGGATATATCAGACACGCATAAATATAGGCGCGGGTACGCGTGACACACGATACATATACGTGTGTAATGTTCGATACATCAAGAGAAAGATAGACCGGGGATAACCGGTGCTAAGCTGACAGAGACGGAGTGCGGCACTGATTGCGAATAAGGGGAAGGCCTCTGGCCATGGAATATCCGCCTTAACTTTACTCCAATCGTTTGCATACGTTGCTCGTAATTAGTTGAGATATAGCCGAATCGGCCTAGCTTCTTTGCCTTCCTCTTTTCTTCCACCTTTTTCCACCCTTTCTCATCGCGTGCCGGATGGCTTTGTTGGATCAGCGAATAGAAATTTTCGATCCCTGCACCCTGTCAACGTTTTTCCACCTTACTAAACTTCGTCTCGTGGTTCTGCCCGAGGGTAGTTTGCCCGGGAAAGAGATGGAAATTCAAAAATATAGATCTCGATGGGAACGAGAAAAATTTGGTACGAGCAAAATTCGTTTTGATATCTAGAAAAGAAATTTTCAATCCTTGCTCCATCTCAACGTTTTTCTATTTTACTAAACTTCGTTTTGTGGTTCTGTCCGAGGGTAGTTTCCTCGGAAAAGGGGTGTGAAGTCAAAAATATCGAACGTAATGGGAACCAGAAAAATTTGGTGCAAGTAAAATTCGTTTTGATATTTATCGTAGAACAGAAATTTTCGATTCGTGCTCCCTGTCAACGTTTTTACCACTAGAGCTTCGTCTCATGGTTCAGTCCGAGAGTAATTTACCCTAGAAAGAGATGGGAATTTAAAAATATCGAACTCGATGGGAACGAGAAAGATTTGGTACAATCAAAATTCGTTTTGATATCTAGAAAAGAAATTTTCAATCCCTGCTCCATCTCAACGTTTTTCCATTTTACTAAACTTCGTTTTGTGGTTCTGTCCGAGGGTAGTTTCCTCGGAAAAGGGGTGGGGAGTCAAAAATATCGGACTCGATGAGAACGAGAAAAATTTGGTACAATTAAAATTCGTTTTAACATTTAAAGGGAAATTACCATACTGAATGACGTTGTTACAGCGAATAAAAAGTTTGGATAGCCAGAAAATTTCACAGAGATGCTTAGAACCGAAAGTGTTCGTATATATTTACTAATATAAATCGATTTCACGGTTGTAGATTATGGCCGAAGGTTTCAATTAATTAAATTCCAAATGCTATTTACGCGCAGTGATATATTTGCTGAATAATTGATGCAGAGAAGCGGAAAAAGAGGAAAAGCGAATAGATCGAATGCTACTACGCGTGGAGGAAGACGGTGTGCGTGTGCGTGTGTGAAACGGTACGGAAAAGTGCGAGTATATATGGTGTCGCGAATTGGAAAGAATAGAACGGTGAACGATACTCGGTTTGAACGTTTCGTGATAATCAGGGTTAAGTTTAGGGGTGGTTTTCGTGAAGATGGATGTTGGAAATAAGATACGTCTTAATGTATTTGGAAAAATCAATCTCGTGGGAGAAATAGATATGGCTTTGAACTATGCGTCGAAGAGGATCCACGAATTTTAATTTTAATCGAGAACCTATATAAATTGAAATGACTATAGCAATCCAATAGGTTCTGATCTCTTAATTTATGTAAAATTATTAGCACACCACGATATTAGTGGAAAATGTCAATATTATTAAAAATTTTAATCAAAAGCTTATAAAGATTGAAATGGCTATAGCAATCCAATAGATTTTTATCTCTTAATTTATGTAAAATTATTAGCTCATCACGATATTAGTGGAAAATGTCAATACTATTATAAATTTTAATTAAAAGCCTATACAAATTGATATGACTATAGTAATCCAATAGGTTCTGATCCCTTCATTTATGTAAAATTATTAGCTCACCACCAAAATATTATTTCAAATATTACTTCAAAATGTCACCACCAAAATTATTAGTTCACTCACCAAAATGTTAATACAATTAAAAATTTTAATCAAAAACTTATACAAATTGATATGACTATAGTAATCCAATAGGTTCTGATCCCTTCATTTATGTAAAATTATTAGCTCACCACCAAAATGTTATTTCAAATATTACTTCAAAATGTCACCACCAAAAT